AGAACGAATCTTTACAGGTCAAAAAGATTCATACAAGTGAGAATCCTTCCGATATGCTGACCAAAGTGGTACCAAGAGACAAGTTTGAGCTATGCAAAGAACTTGTCCGCATACACTCAAACTAGAAACTGCGAAGTTACCTCCTTCGGGTAAATGTGATTGGAGGGGGAGATCTGTGGGGTCCAGCCAACATTTTAAGGAAGTTGTTTTCTTCCTTTCTTCTTTATTTTCAAAGTTGGCAGAAGCAGGCAGCCCACGTTTCTCATTTTTCTGTCAAAAATGACAGGCTGCAGAAGTTGAAAGGTCAAGGTTGGTAGGCATATTTTGCCTATAAGCTCTCATTCTTTCATCACAATCTCATAGGAAAATATATCTGAGAGCTAGAAAGAAAGAGTGAGGTTTCACAGACAGGGTATAAGAAAATAGTCTGTGAAGAAAATAGAGAGTGTGAGCGATATTGTAGTGAGGTGAAATATCAAAAGAGGGTTATTTCTTTTGAGTATTGTAGTGGTCTTTGTAGTATTTTTACTCGGGCCTACAAAGTGTAAATTCCTTACTATAGTGATATCAGTTGCTCCTCTCGGGGTCGTGTTTTTTTCCCTTATTCAGAAGGGTTTTCCACGTAAAATTTTTGGTGTCATTGTTACTCTTTTATTCTTGTTAATTACCGTATCTCGGTGCTACATTATTATTCCGCTTTTATTACCGTAAATATTATTTTGGTAGGGGGTTTATTCCCAACATTTATTAGCTGTATGTTTCATTTGTGTATTGGTTAATTAGTAGATCTGCTGAATGCTGTCTTTTTGGGCCTTTTTAAACCTAATTTATAGTTAAGCACTTTGGTTAGACTTGTTAATGAAGGTGTTATGTACTATGAGGGTGTTTGGCTAAGCTTATAAGCTGGTCAAACTGGCTTATAAGCACTTTTTGGCTTATCTAGGCGTTTGGTAAAATTAAAAGTACTTATAAGTTAAGTGCTTATAAGCCAAAAATAAGCCAAAAGTCATAAGCTGGTCTCCCCTAACTTATCAAATTTCAGCTTATAAGCACTTTAGGTTTGATCAAGATATTTACTATTCTATCCCTAAAATATTTTTTTAAAAAACAAAACTCTTCATATACGCAGTTCTTCAGCCGCTTATTATTAATTTTAGCCCTTTTATCCAAACACATAACTGCTGATAAGTTTTAAATTAGCTTCAGCACTTAAAAGTGCTTTTGAGCACTTAATACTTATCAGCTACTCTAAATCACCTAAGCCAAATGGGCTCTATATATATTCTAGGCATTTATCTGCCCAATTTTCTTCTGTTTTTTTTCTCTCTTAATTTTTGATGAATAAACTTGTGAAATCTCTCTCTCTCACTCACACACAAACAGAGAGAGAGAGATCCTTTCCAAATTTGGAAGAACTTTTTGGAGAAGTCATTTTATAAAAGTTTATAGAGAAGAAAAAAGTATGTTTTAATGAGTAGTTGATCGATTTTAGAAGTTTTGTTCTGATTTGATCAGAAAAAGAAGTGTCCCTAGGTACTTTTTACCTAAAAAAATGTTAATAAGAAAGTGATTGAAAAAACGCTTACAGAATAATTGGAAAAAAATACTTCCAGAAAAGGAAAGAAAAAAGGAAACAGTAAAAAATTGGATCCATACGTATTAGTGATAGACTTCAACAAATACCCTCAAAGCATAATGTCGGGTCGATGTCTTCTTGTTGGATTTCTCTCTCTATATATATAATATATTATCCCGTGAACCTATTTTTTAGTCGAGTGGATTCTGCAATACACATTTAAAACAACTCACTTGTTTCTTTGTTCTTTATTTATGTATTTCGTTTACTTATAAGATTGTTATCGTCCTTTTCCTACTCGACTAAAAATCTTTTTGGAAAAATGAAATTGCCATTATATATATATATATATATATATGCGTGCGCGTGTACTGCGTGTATTCAATTATATTTATTCTGGACGCAGATTGCATTGGCTCTGAGTTCAACGTTAGGGGATCTATGTGTTGCCCTAACTGCCGCGAGATAGAATATGGCAATTGGCATTTTCCAGAGGGTGAGGGAGCTCATGAAGAGTATGACGAGGAAGTGAGTGACGATGAAGAAGAAGAACCTGAACTGGTAATTTAAAATCTTTCTTTTTTAATTAAAGACACATCTACTCAGGCTTTCACCTCCCCTGGTGGTAGCGATTTCCTAGACCGTACCGTGTATATTAAAAACGAGAATCAAAATAATTACAAAATGACACTATTATTTTTAGTTTGAATCGTATGTAACTTCAAATGTAAGATTTACTTCTTTTTTTTTTTTTAACAAGCTAAGGAACCCTAGCTTGGTGTCAATGTATATTGAAGCCAAGGCCGCATTAACAGAAACGGTACATCCAAATTAAAAACTTCAAGATTCGAATAACATAGTTTGCAATCTATGGTCGAGTTCACCTCTGGACTCTCATAATTAACTTATATAACTATTCAAGAATGTAAAACAATTAAGAGATTTAGGAACTTTGACTAGCATGATAGTTTGACAAGATAGGATTTACGTTGTATTATCGTGCATGCATGTTTGTTAAATTGCAACTGCCGAAAAGAAGGAGGAATGAGGATGTGAAAAAAGAGAGGTGATCTTAGACCTTATCTTAGTTGTTTAAATAAAGCAAGGGTTGGGTCTCTAGTTTTTAGTTAATTAATTTTTAAATTGTTATGTTAATTGTCTAGTTCTCTAATTATTGATACACAATTATAAATGTACTCCTCTACGAGATGAGAAAAAAAGAGAGAACAATAAGATAAATTTGTTGTTTTAACAACTTGATCAGTAACTTCAAAGTATCATAAAAATTCAAGTTTCTGGGAATTTATACCGCAGGTTTATGAATTATGAGACTTATTATTTGAAATTGGTTTTATTTATTTACTCATTTATTTTGGAAATGAATTTTTTCATTTACTTGAGATCTGATTGGTGTATGTGCATATACGTTAATCTCTCATATTTTTGTGGGGTCCATCCCATAATCAAGGAAGAAATCTTCCTTCCTTGATTAGCAGCAGCCCACGTTTCTTTCTGCATTTGTCAAATATGGCAGACGTGCAGATGAAAAATGTCAAGCGTAGTAGGCGAGGTTCTGCCTATAAAAGGAGAGCTTCGGCTCTCATTTTATACACCAATCTCAGAGGAAAAATATATCTGAGAGTTAGAAAGGAAGAGTGAGGTTTCACAGACAGGGTATAAGAAAATAGTCTGTGAGAAAAATAGAGAGTGAGTGATATTGTAGTAAGGTGAGAATTTCAAAAGAGGGTTATTTCTTTTGAGTGTTATAGTGGCCTTTTGAGTATTTTACTCGGACCTACAAAGTGTAAAATTCCTTGCTATAGTGATATCAGTTGCTCTTCTCAGGGCCGTGGTTTTTTCGCTTATTCAAAAGGGTTTTCCACGTAAAAATCTTGGTGTCGTTGTTACTCTTTTATTCTTGTTAGTTTACCGTATCTCGGTGCTACGTTCTTATTCCGCTTTTATTATCGTGAATATTATTTTTGTAGGGGGTTTATTACCAACAACTGGTATCAGAGCATAGGTTCTGCTCGTTCACTGAAATACTATTCACTATCGGTAGTACTGTACTCAGTGAAAAATAAAAATATCCGGAGTAAAGTACGAGGTAGCTAAATTCAACGGAGATAACGGTTTCTCAACATGGCAAAGAAGGATGAGAGATCTGCTCATCCAACAAGGATTACACAAGGTTCTAGATGCTGATTCCAAAAAGCCTGATACCATGAAAGCTAGGATTGGGTTGACTTGGATGAAAGAGCTGCTAGTGCAATCAGGTTGCACTTATCCGATGATGTGGTAAATAACATCATTGATGAAGACACTGCACATGGAATTTGGACAAGGTTGGAAAGCCTATACATGTCCAAAACGCTGACAAATAAATTGTACCCGAAGAAGCAGTTATACGCCCTACACATAGGTCAAGGTATGATTTTTTTGTCACATTTAAATGTGTTTAATGGACTAATCACACAGCTTGCCAACCTCGGAGTGAAAATCGAGGAAGAAGATAAAGCTATCTTGCTATAGAACTCGTTTCCATCTTCGTACGATAATTTGGCAACAACCATCCTGCACGGTAAGACTACTATTGAATTGAAAGATGTCACATCGGCTCTTCTATTAAATGAGAAGATAAGAAAGAAGCCTGAAAATCAAGGACAGACTCTCATCACAGAAGGTAGAGGAAGGAGTTATCAAAGGAGTTCGAGCAACTATGGTAGATCCGGAGCTCGTAGGAAGTTAAAGAACCGATCCAAATCAAGAGCGAGAAATTTCTACAACTGTGATCAATCAGGTCACTTCAAAAAAGATTGCCCAAATACAAATAAGGGCAAAGGTGAAACCAGTGGCCAGAAGAATGACAACAACACAGCCGCCATGGTGCAAAACAATGATAATGTTATCCTCTTTATAAATGAGGAAGAGGAATGCATGCACCTGTCAGGTCCAGAGTCGGAATGGGTGGTTGACATAGCGGCATCTTACCATGCCACACCGGTAAGAGATCTTTTTTGCAGATATGTAGCAGGTGATTTCGGCACAGTGAAAATGGGTAACACAAGTTACTCAAAGATTGCGGGGATTGGTGACATTTGTATCAAGACAAATGTCGGATGCACATTGGTTCTAAAGGATGTGCGGCATGTACCTGATTTGCGGATGAACTTGATCTCGGGAATTGCTTTAGACCGAGATGGATACGAGAGCTATTTTGCAAATCAAAAGTGGAGACTCACTAAGGGATCATTGGTGATTGNTCGGTAAGAGATCTTTTTTGCCGATATGTAGCATGTAATTTCGGCACAGTGAGAATGGGTAACACAAGTTACTCAAATATTATGGGGATTGGTGACATTTGTATCAAGACAAATGTCGGATGCACATTGGTTCTAAAGGATGTGCGGCATGTACCTGATTTGCGGATGAACTTGATCTCGGGAATTGCTTTAGACCGAGATGGATACGAGAACTATTTTGCAAATCAAAAGTGGAAACTCACTAAGGGATCATTGGTAATTGAAAAGGGAGTTGCTCGCAGCACGTTGTACAGGACAAATGCAAAAATATGCCAAGGTGAATTGAACGCGGCACAAGATGAGATTTCTGTAGATTTGTGGCACAAAAGAATGGGTCATATGAGCGAGAAGGGATTGCAGATTCTTGCCAAGAAATCACTCATTTCTTATGCCAAAGGTACAACGGTAAAACCTTGTGACTACTGTTTATTTGGTAAGCAGCATAGAGTCTCATTTCAGACATCGTCTGAAAGAAAATTGAATATACTTGATTTAGTATATTCTGATGTTTGCAACCCAATGGAAATTGAATCAATGGGCGGTAAAAAATATTTTGTTACTTTTATGATGATGCTTCACGAAAATTATGGGTTTATATTTTGAAAACCAAAGATCAGGTGTTTCAAGTTTTCCAGAAGTTTCATGCTCTAGTAGAAAGGGAGACGTGTCGAAAGCTAAAGCGTCTCCGAAGTGACAATGGAGGTGAGTACACTTCAAGGGAATTTGAAGAGTATTGTTCAAGTCATGGAATCAGACATGAAAAGATGGTTCCTGGAACCCCGTAGCACAATGGTATAGCCGAGAGGATGAACCGCACCATTATGGAGAAGGTGAGAAGCATGCTCAGAATGGCTAAACTACCTAAGTCATTCTGGGGTGAAGCAGTTGAGATAGCCTGTTGCCTGATCAATAGGAGTCCATCAGTTCCGTTGGCGTTTGACATCCCAGAGAGAGTTTGGACCTACAAGGAGGTGTCCTACTCGCATCTGAAGGTGTTCGGTTGTAGAGCTTTTGCACATGTACCAAAAGAGCAGAGAACAAAGCTGGATGATAAATCTATTCCCTGCATATTTATCGGATATGGAGATGAAGAGTTCGGGTACAGACTGTGGGATCCTGTAAAGAAGAAGGTCATCAGAAGTAGAGATGTAGTCTTCCGAGAAAGTGAAGTTNTGTAACAATCCCACAAGTGCAGAAAGTACGACCGACGAGGTTGCCAAGCAGGGGGAGCAACCTGGTGAGGTTATTGAGCAGGGGGAGCAACTTAATGAAGGTATCGAGGAAGTGGAGCGCCCCACTCAGGAAGAAGAACAACCTCAACCTCTGAGGATATCAGAGAGGCCAAGGGTAGAGTCATGCAGGTACCCTTCCACAGAGTATGTCCTTATAGGTGATGAGGGGGAACTAGAAAGTCTTTAGGAGGTGCTGTCCCATCCAGAAAAGAACCAGTGGATGAAAGCCATGCAAGAAGAGATGAAATCTCTACAGAAAAATGGCACGTACAAGCTGGTTGAATTCCAAAGGGTAAAATACCAATCAAATGCAAATGGGTCTTTAAACTCAAGAAAGATGAAAATGGCAAGCTAATCTGATACAAAGCTCGATTGGTGGTTAAAGGATTCGAAGAGAAGAAAGGTATTGATTTTGATGAAATTTTCTCACCTGTTGTCAAAATGACTTCTATTCGAACAATTTTGAGCTTAGCAGCTAGCCTAGATCTTGAAGTGGAGCAGTTGGATGTGAAAACTGCATTTCTTCATGGAGATTTGGAAGAGGAGATTTATATGGAGCAGCCAGAAGGATTTGAAGTAGCTGGAAAGAAACACATGGTGTGCAAATTGAATAAGAGTCTTTATGGATTGAAGCAGGCACCAAGGCAGTGGTACATGAAGTTTGACTCATTCATGAAAAGTCAAACATACCTAAAGACCTATTCTGATCCATGTG